CCTATTTGAAGATTGGCTGATTAGCAACCTTAATTCCATCAGCAACTTTAATTCCTCTTTGCCATGTAAGGGAACATATTCATAGGTTCTGGGGATTAGTCTGTGGACATTTTTGGAGGGCCATTATTGTATCTACCACAGGGGAAATAACTCAAAAGAGACTATTGAAACCATAAAAGAATGAGATAAGTTGGCAAATTTAATTTCCCCTTCCCATCCCCAGTTACCCAATGGGATGGGCATATGAAGAAAATTAGATCACTTTTAAAGTAGAGAAGCCTTGTTTCCTTTGCACATCAGTCCTGTAGGGTGAATAAATTTTTTTTACTTCACTGCATGTAGATTATGAGATACAATTTGATAACTTATTACTCACAGATTTAATATAATTCTGGCTTTCTGTCATGGCTTGAGTAGAATGTTTCTCTCTTATTCATCCTGGATGTTAAAAATAATTTTTGTTTAGATGAAAATCATTACCCAAAGACAGTGAGATAATTCTAGATTCTTGGTGACAACTTCTCAGATGAAAGGTTTTCATTTTCCTTTTCAAGTTTTCTGCTATTCCTTCTATATAGAATAATAAATAATAGTAATTATAGAGCATCATGTTAACAGTTGGTAAAACCTGTGGCTGGTTTTCTAATATAATATTTCTCTTTAGGTGATTAATCTGTTTGAAGTTTTTCTGTTCCATTGGGTATTTAGATGTCATGATTTATTATGCTTTTTTTTCCCCATGAGTACACCTTTAATAAACAATCCTAATTGAAACAACTGGGAACTTTGCAAAAGAAACAAGTTTTAAAAACTGAGGTATTAAGTGTTTTATGCCACAAGGGATGCACTGCTAACCTTTTTTGAGATCAATATAAATGAGACCAATCACAGCTATGCTCAAAAAAGTATCCTTTGGAAACAGATTCATGCACTGGGTAATCCAAAAGTGGCACCTTTGAAAATCCTACGATTCTCATATCTTATAAAGACGATCATTATTAAAGAGTTCAAGAATTGCTCTTTTGGAATCCCAAAATACAGTTACTGAAATTTTAAGCAGTGAGTTTATGGGCACAAAAGCAGCCAGATATTTAGTTATTGTGATGATTAACTATATCTTGTTTTGTCATCTGGATGCTTGTCATTGTGTAGACAGAGACATAAACAGTGGTTGTTTCTTGATGTTGATTATACTATGAATAATTTCCACACTTATTAAAGTGGCTTAAGGTTTTTTTTTTTTTTTTTTTTAAAGAATGAGTCACATCAGGAGACAGACAAGTTGCTTTTTAATTTGTTATTTTTGCATCTCTCTCCAAGGTGGCTCTACATATAGAATGCATTGTATTATTTTTAAAGTTAATGTGATTGGCTGTTATTTTACATTCTTACAACCAATTTGTGCTGACTTGACTCTTTTGATTAGATCATGATTATAAGTCTAAGGTTATGCTTTTGATCTTTATAAAGAAGTTTGCTTACTTCCACCCTGGGAACACAGATGGTTCTCATATTCTCTATACACTTATTTTATAAATGCATGTCTTTGATCTTATGGGAAGGCACCATAAATTCCTTATCTTTAGTAAAACTCAACCAATTAAGAATGTCCTAACAGCAGATCAGAATTGTATTTTTAATAAAGTATGGTAGCATGATGAGTGGAAATACACTAGTTACTAATTTTCTCTGGATGTCATGTCTCACATTAATGGTTTAAATTTCTAAGATACATCGAAGGTCTAAGTTCTCTAGTAAAATGATTTCAAATAAAATTTTATTGCAAAACTATTTTGCTTTGAGTAGTATATTAAAATCTCACAATTGCATTTTGTATTTGGGGTGTGAGAAGAACAGTAAATCCTACTACTAAAATATGATGAAAAATAGAATGTTGTTTTCCAATATATCTAATAATTCAAACTATGACAGAATGTTATGGTAGGCAGTAGGAAGCCTAACTTGCCAGGCTTAATGTATTATGGTACTTAAAAAGGCCTCTTTTATTTTTAGTGTTCATTGTTTACAAATCCCTATTTGTTTAAGGAGGTCAGATACAGACCATCCACTAATCTTACTATAAAATTATTATATTCATCAAAGTACTTTGTATTACAGTGAATTTCTAAGTACATTTTATGTGCTAGTAGAATCTAAATATATGTGTTTATTAATATTATGAGAGTTTATCCTGTTTTTATTTTTACTTAGCAAAATGAACCACTGGAAATTAAGTGTTATCCTTTTGATTTTCTTAGGCTTTTTTGTACAATGCCAGATCAAAGAACTGAGATGACTAGGTAGAAAAGTTGCACATTCTTACAGAAAAAGAGAACAGCCATGGTTGTATATGTGTGTATTTATGTGTGTGTGTGTGTGTGTGTGTGTGTGTTTGAGAGAAAGAGAGAGAGATGGAGATGAGGTATACATATCTTGATTTGATTACCAGTAAATTTTTTTGTGATTTACTTGAACGTTTAGAAAAACTGGACTCTGATAGAAAAACCATCAACAAGGTGAGGCAAATAGCTTTTTAGATTTTTCTACAATCACCAAGGAAAGAAGTATCTTGCATTATATATCAAGTAAAAATATACATCTTTGATTTCTGGTGTTTTGATTTCAATATATGTAGTAGTTCAGGAATAAAAATGTAGAATTTTCTTATATCATTTGTGTTTTTTTATAATTGAGTCTTGTGATCTCTTACTTGTCTAGTTTGGAATTTGCCTCACTCATCCTTCCTATCGAAAAATCCATTGATTTTTGGAAAGTATACATAGAATAACTGTGCTTTTTAAAAAATTCTTATAAAATGCAAAATCAATTTGAATGTATTTTATAATACAAATCTTATAAATATTAATAAAAGAACTATAAAATATAAATTGATAAAAATAACATCGGGATCCTTTCTCTCTAGCATGGGTGAACTATGTGTTATATACATGTATCTATATAGATATGCTGTTTCTCCTCATGTGCCTACTATAATGATGAATTCCATTCCTGATTAGAGAATCATGAGCTAAAAATCCAAAATGTAGCCATAAGCATCGGTAAACATTGGTGAAATTCCACCTTAGGAAATAATCAATGCTTAAAGCTTAGCATTCTGATTTGGAACAAGAAATGTATAAATCACAAAATAATAAGAAAAATCGGAGCTGCTGAGCACATCCCATTTTGATGATATTCTAAGTAGCCATAAAAGAAAAGGCAATTTTGTTTACCTGCAAAGACCCGAGCCAGAAATCTCCATTTCAAAATGCTTATTTCTTTACAGTGTGGCTGAATGGCCGTGAACAATGCAAATTGGTTTTACTTTCTAAGTTTATTATACTTACACATATTTTGGTAAGTTGTCTACCCAGATCCTTTATTACACAATGAGGTGACCCCTCAATGAAACCCCAAGTATCTTCCTGGTCATCATACGTTGCCATTCTTCCCCTAGAAATTAATACACTCTGTCTGCTGGCTCCTGTCTTTTCATCTCCTGCTGTGGAATCAGCGGTCATAACAGCTATTCTGTTCATGAATATGTAAATGCAACATGCATAAAATAAAAAAAAATTTAGCGGGCGGTTCCCACTGCAGACTGTTCCCAACTCTGTTTAACTAATACACAAAAAGCCAAGATTCAATTTTTCACCCATTTTGAGTCAGTGTTGCAAGGAATGCTACAATCATGTAACATGGAAATACCTAAATGAGACATATGTAGGTGCTCATGATAGCTGGACTCCTAATAAATCGGCATCTATGCACAGCTATGACGATGCATGCAGGTTCCCTTATTACTTCATTCTGATGCTTAGTGATAAAGGGAAAATGCCTTAGGTCTTCAGTAACCTTTTATTTGCTGACTAGGTTCCACTTCCCTACCTCACCCCAATGTACGACTAAAACAATGTTTAAATTATGCAAGTACACATATATGTATATATGCATAGACACACGCAAACACACACACACATACACACACATATATGCACACACACTTTTTTCTTTTGGAGGCGAGAAACGATGACTATACCCGCTGAAGTATTCTGGATGAAACATTAAGCTCTGGGAAGGAAATGATTGGGGGATTTTATTATTGAAATAAGCAAGCATGTTCATGCATATTTTACGGCATGCATGCCTATGCGCCACTCTGTGCAAACAGTGCTATTGCAGCTCGTGTGCGGTAATTAGGTGGATGTAATTACGGCGAAGTAAAGGCAGCCTCACTGATAATTTCACAGTGAATATTAAAGACATATGTGCCTTCCAGTGTACAATAAATGAACCTGAACTGCTGTCAGGGGCTAGGAGGACAGTGTGGCCAATGCACCTATTGTGTCCCTGCTGCAGAAAGGAGCCTGCCGATTGGCCACTGTCTGCAGCACATAGCACTGGCTGGTTATAAAGGACTTGTCTAGGGGAGAGCCTGTAGGTACTCCATTGTCTGGTAAAGTTCATATGACTGCATTCTTTTTTGCAAGGGGGGTGGAGGGAGAGCGGGGAAGGAGGGGGTGTCAGCTCAACTGTAAAAGCTGCACAGATTTGTTCTTTCTCTCTCTCTCTCTGCCTCTCCATAGATCGTTTCTGTTTCATGCCCTGTCTCATTTCGCATAGCTAAAAAATAATGCTAATTACGATCCCTTGTCTTAACTTGAAAATAATGACTCGGATATAATTAGAAATCTGGCGAGAGTTTAAAATTCTGGTAGGGGACCAAAACCATCAGTTACGGTGCTTAGGAGGGGAATGAAGAATTATTTTTCTGTAATCAAGGTAAACATGGGAGGGGGGATCCCCCCTATCTTTTTTTTAACCAATGGTGTTCTACTGCAGATGAGAGGATACTGTATTTCAAAAACTATTTTAGCCATCAAATTGAAAGGACACAAATCAGTAGCAATGGAAGCCTTCTTAATCCTCCTTAGGATGCAATTCAGATGAAAGAACTGCTTTTTTTTTTTTTATTTTCTTTTTGTATGTGTGTGTTATAGATGGATCTGAGAACGCTGTCTGGGCTTGGTGCCAAGCGCTGGTATTTCATAGCAGCGGCCGCCTCACAGACGAGCCGTGGGAAGCAGGAGGGAGACTCTCTCTTAGGGTGCCACTACTATGGAGACACAGCTGGGCTGAACAAGATTTGCTTCAAACGACAACAAGAGAGACAGAAAGTATCTGGTTCAACCGCTGCCCAAGCAGGCAGGCACCAGAAGAGCTAGCAGCCAATCCGGCCATGCTCGAAGCCAGCTCTGCGGCTCAGCCAATCAGTGACATCACTGGTGAGAAACTCATTTACATCATGCAGTAATGAACTTTGTTTAACATAGCCTCCCCCCTTTCCTGTTACCCCCCCCCCATATTAGGTCCTTCCATTAATTATTCTGGTGGCATAATTTAAACCTCTATGCAAAAGTGTGGCTACATTCTCTCTGATAGCTTTTACCTTCTCCTCCCACCCCACCCATTGCTGTCTACTGTCACTGAAAGTGATTCTGGGTACAATTCTGCTCTGTTTTGACCTTGCAAAATGATCGTCTCTTTCTTGAAAAAAAAAAAAAGTCTTAGAAAAAATTAAACCTTTGTTTATTTTATCTGACTGCACTTCCTCCCCTTATGAATAGCATGCTTTTTGCAAGTTGGGATTCAGAATTGTACAAGGTAATAGAGAATAAGGGAGTGCATTGCCGTGGAACTTGCAATTTTTTCCAAGCAATCTGCATCTTAGGGCTTCCTTTCATGTTTTCAGATTTTATGCTGCAGTGGCCATTTTACATACAGTGTTTTATCCCAAAAGCACTTATGTGCTTCTGTCACATGGAGGAAAGTTCACTCTTGTTATATTTCATTCTTCACTGCGCTCAGCCAACATGTCATTTTATTAATGAATAGAACTGAGGTCATTTCTGGACAAATCTCTCTCTTCCCGTCCCAGCACAATGCACCTGATTTGCATCCATTTACTAGAAAAACTGAATACAAGAACCAGCTTGAAAAGAAGTTAAGGGACCAGCTTACATATTATTTTAGAATATGTCGCAGCATTTGTGTTTTAGAATGCGTAATATTTAACATCTGCCTTAGTGTTTCTGTAAAAATGCCTGATCTCCATTCCCAGTGTAATACCTTTAGCTAATTTATTAGTTTGTTATATAACTAAAATAGACCAAATGAGGTGATATTCACGAATGAGTTCATTTGTCAGAAGAAAACCTCTGGAAACACAATTTTTGTCTCGTATCGTACATTTGTATTTGGTTTGTCAGAGATAAACTTATTTGTCATATAGATAACTTAAAGAGGCTGGAAATGCGTGGCATGTGAAGATTTTCAGGTTGCTTTGGAGAATCCCAAAGAGCGGAAATTGGGTCACACTTAAATGCGATTTGTCTTAAGCCGTATCTTTATTGCATATTGGCATTAAAGGGATATGGTTTTCTGGCAGAGAAGGTAAAGTTTCATTGTTTTTTTAAAAAAGAGTATTTTGAATATGATTATTCAAAGACATGGAATTTTTAAAACATCGACAAGGGTTTCATAACAGTGCATGATTCGTTTAAGAAGCTTAAAGGGTACAATGATAGGCATAGACACTTTTTCAAGCATATGAAGGATTTAGGCGCTAAACCACAGCCCTTTTAATTCATGAGGCATTCCATCATCCCATCATCAGTATTCAGGGAGCGCCTGTCCTGAATCAGTCATGAGCTCCCCTGCTGCAGATCCTGTAATTTGAATCATGTGTAATAATATATTATCCTACTGGGGGCCTTCTTTCAGTAGGAGAATGGTTTATACATTCTGCTATAAGAGAACTTTTGGCTCCTAGCCGACTCACAGCCATTACTCACATAGGCAATCATGATCATCTTCCTTAAGGAATAACATCTGCACGACCTCCCGAGCCAAAAATCTGCAACCTCCCCCACGTTCTGAATTACGATTTCTTGGAACTGGGAACCCTTGACAAAACTGAAGTAGAAAAATGGAAGGTTTAGAGGAACGGACTGCAGTCTTCTTGAGCATGCCATGGGGAAAAGCGCAAGCTCCCTTTCCTTTGAAATGATGGAGAAGGGTGGGTAAAGGGGGCCCAAAATAGACCTCGATGTGTTTGTTTGAGTTTTAGACACAAAGCTGAAAGGTAACGTGTTCTAGGAAGACATGGCTGCCTCTGTGTGTTTCTCTGCACATCCTCCCAAGGTCCTGCAAAGGGTGTGGCAACACCGAGGGATCGATGGAGGGCGTTGGTGGCTGTGAGAACAGAGAAACCTTGTCTCACCTTGGGAAGGAAGCGATGAGATCTAGCAGGAACCATTTGACCCGGGAGTTAAAGGCTCAGGGAATGGCTTTGATTCTCTCTTGTTCTGACTTGGATCAGATCATGTAATTTCTCCGCTTTTCCTTATCTGCAAAAATTAAATATACTGCCAGCACAGAAAGATTGTGGAATACTCCCCCTTTCTTTTTTAAACATCTGAAATCCTTCTTTGCTTCACGGACCAGATTCAGTATTCCTGCTTTTGTGAAATCTTTTCAGATCATCATGGCCAGAATCTCCCACTTCTCCATCATTCTTTTTGTATCTCCATTATTGTCTGTGTGGCAGTCCACACTGCTGTGGGGCCACACGTGCGCATATCTTTTCCACTAGACTGAAAGCCCCTTGGGGACAGAGACCACGTTGAATTCGTCCCCTACCCTCTGCTCTAAGAATAATGAATTATGCTCTTAAGTTTTAAATCAGTGATCTAATTAATGAGTTAAAGGTTCATTGTAAATTGTGACGGGAGTGTTTACAAATTCCAAGGGTTACTGTTGCTGTTGTCAACTGTTACGACCAGGTAATGGCTGATGTCAGTTTTGCCTTATCAGTGTTATGCCTTTCATTGCACGGGTCCTACATTATAAAGCTCAGAATAAATGGTTGCTGCATTATTTTTCTTAAATAACCAATGATAGGGAATTGTAAATTCCCAATTTATCAGATATAGGATTAAGCCAACTTGGTTTGGTGTTTTCAAACTAAAACGTAAGTGAAATGGATGTAAATAAATTGCCAAAGCAGCTGTGATAAGCAAATTATAGTATCAAGCTCTACTGTTAATGATATGGAAGAATTAATTACTTGGAGGAGGTAAGCAATTAATGTTGGGCGTTGAAATGCTCTATAAAGCATAATAAATCAGGGAATATGGAATCCTGAGTCTTATTCTTAGTGTTATAATTAAGATATGTATTTTTAATCCATAAACTAGCACAACAGTCTTTTAAGAGTGTATTTCTAGATGCACCTGGTATAATCTGATAATGCCAAAATATGGTTTTGGTTTTATGCTGCTCATTTTTGTTTATACTTTTGGCTACTGTACTACTGCTAAGTAGAGATTAATTTCTTTGCAAACAATGATATTCTCATTAAGATGTTTGCAAGTTGTGCTTAGAATTTTAAGATCCTATTTCAAACTCTTTGCCCAATACATGTTATGAGATGGGAATGAAGTAACCAGAAAATATATACATCTTTACTTTTTATATATGGGAAAACAGAAATTTTAGCACTGGACATTGGCTGGTCTGAAGTCCATGTTTTATACAAGTCTTAGAGAGGAAAAGTATCTTGCCCAAGGCTATGTTCTATCAAATTCCTCGGAACAGCTGAGACTGGTATCCAGAATTCAGAATGACTGGTTCAATATTCTTTCCACTCCACTAAATAACCAGTACTTTTAAAATCAGCTAGATAAGATTATACAATTTTATGGTGCTAACATAAATTACATTCACTGTAATTCACTGTGAGTGTATAGTATTTTATGGTTGAAAACAAGGAGACTGAAACTTATTGAGGTGTATTTTTTCTACTACCCTACAAGAATGTAATCAACTACTAATAAATCACCATTTATGTTAGTATTCTTTAAAATAATTTTGGTTTTGATGGAGAAAAATGGAAACCTCATATCTGGGTTCACTTTGCAGTGGCTTTGAATTCAATTAACATGAATATTGTATCTTAAACTATAGGACTGGTTAAATAAGATTTGGGAAGGACCAGTTTATACCTTGTTGTTTTTTTTTTTAACTGATGAATTTAGCTATTATTACTGACCTTTTCTTTTTTTTTTTTTTTCCTTTTCTCCTGCTAAAATCTTCAGGTATCTCAATGACGGTACTTCTTTTCATCCCAGTATTTAAAAATAGAATTCTGAATCTCATATGAGATGAATTGTGCCCTCTTAAGGAACAAATGTTTCTCAAAGACAGGAAAAATAGTAGGAGTCTGTTCAGCTTCTTCTGTTCAGACAGAATATGTACAGACATATTTAAGAGCTCAGAGAGTGATTGAGTAAACATGGATCATCTTAGTTAAAGAAAAATGTTACTTTGCATCATGGTTTGAGACATGGTAACTGAAAGCCATTTGCATCTGAATATTGTTGTCTTTTCTAAACTTATTAAAGTAGTGATAAGTAAGACAGGGCGCCTGGGTGGCTCAGTCGGTTAAGCGACTGCCTTCGACTCAGGTCATGATCCTGGAGTCCCTGGATCGAGTCCCGCATCGGGCTCCCTGCT